GAAATGATCGGCATGTCGATGCAACAAATAATCATACAACTATAACATAAATGCATTATCAGATTATTAATATAAATATTAGGAAGGGAAGGAATTGTATCAAAACTACAGGATGATATCCTACTGGGAGTGCAATTCCAATAATTTCCAGTGAAACAATTATGTCAGTTAGAAACTTATGGAATATAATGCCTAATAAAAAAGGATGACTCTTTTTCCCATGTGAGATTGACTTTAATAGGGAAATCCAACTTTAAAAATTAGGAAAATTAGGAAAAAGATATGGAAAAATTGGATGGAAATGGGGATATTGAACTGGCTCAACTGATGAAGATGAATTTTTAACATATACTGTGTTAAGAGATAAATATCATTTATCAAATATAAACCAATGGCAATATTTACAGCCATTATTACTTGTATGTACATTGAGAGCTTATGCACCGGAAACAAATTTCTTGTGTGTCCAACCACACTTGGCCAATATTCTAACATTTGTTAACCATGTTTGGACCGACATCATTTTCACCCAAGATATAAGATCATCTTTTTAAATAAAAAACTATTATTTTTTGTAGATATTTGTCATAAATTTGATATGCAGATGCTAAGAAGACATTTAAAATTTAATGGAATCCACTATATTTGTATAGAAAAGGAGTAAGACAACATTTATTAAAGATGTAATGATAATGCTTCTTTAAAACATGTTTTTATAATGTCCTATACTCATTAGGTTTTGGGAAAAAGTAAATTATATGACTGTTCAACAAAAGCTAAAATGTTCAGAAGATAATAATCTCTTGACCATGCATCTAGGCAAGGAATTTAACAATGCAAATGGCCATGTTCTTACTATGGCCAAAAGACTGATATTGCAGCACTGGTAAGATAAATGTATGGCTACATTCACTAAATGGATTTAAGACCTGATTACATTTGCCACCTATGAGAGGATGGCCTAGAGCAGGGGTTCTCAACCTTGGCAACTTTAAGACTTGTGGCAAAGCTGGCTGAGGAATTCTGGGAATTGAAGTGCACAAGTCTTAAAGTTGCAAAGGTTGAGAACCTCTGGCCTAGAGATATAATTTTATCTCTAGTATAATGAAATATGGACTCATTTATACAAAGTATAATAGGTTAAAAACATGATAGTTATATAAATATATTAGAAATAAAGAGATACATATTTGAATATTTGTATCAGATAAGCATATAAAGAACTGTAAGTTTATTATGACAATACTGTATTTTTATGTATTTTTCCACCTTTTCAAATTATTATGACCTTTTCTCTTTAAGCATATATTTCTACCATAATTATCTCTATATTTTGTTCTTCTTTTTCTGTTATTTTAAAAGCATTAAATACATTTCCAGATAGCATCTTTCATGGATACTTGATAGGGGAATACTACTTCAAATCACTATATCTTTAATCTTTCAAGAATAACCCACTACTACATCCCCCAACTCCCCCAAAATTCCAGGGCATAGATTTTTCCATCTTTTGTTGATATTTTTGCTTGTTATTCTTAAACTTGTTTATGTATGCTTTTTTGACTGCTGTTTAAAACTGAGCCTGACTGTTGTTAGGAGTAATTATTTTGCTACTGTAAGTAAAGCATCAGGATATTCCAAAAGAAAGAAGGCAACTTTTCCTTCCACTTCCACAAAATCCTGCCTGATGAAACATCATTAGAATAACCTTATACTCTTCACAACAGCAAGAATATGAATAATTTTTTTTAGGGAAAAAATATCCCATGGAGATGATTAGTAATTCTTGGAAAATTCTAGGACCTAAAATTATTTAATACATTATTTTCAATGTGTCTATATTTCCATGGGTCTATATTCAGTTGTCCAATATTAGCAACTACTTAGATGTTCCTGAGACATAATAAGCTCTATATGCCTAAAAAACATAATGTCATCTATGTGTTTCTGTAAAAAACAAGAAAACAGATAATAAGAATGTGGCATGATATCATTTTACAGATTTTACGTTTTTACAGAAGTGTTCACAATGGTAATATAATATTACCATATTATATAATATACAATATAAAAAGATAACCCACACCTAAATTAAAACTGCAAGATCTTAATGTTAACTCCTAAGTACTTATACAGTTTTTAATACTATGGAAAACAGACTCAAAATGAAAAAAAACATCATTATACAGAAAAGACTACTATTTGTTGAATGTAAATGTAAGTTTGCTAAATGTAAGGGGTAAGCAGATACATTGTAAAATAATCTCTAATTCCTGCATCTACTAAACAAAATCCCTTATTTGTACAATGGCCCCTTTCTGACTTTGAATTTTCAACACAATATCTGTTATAATTCATCCAGCATTATTTTCAAGGTAGAATTACAGTATCAATTTTGATTGTTATGCTATTATATTACTAGTTTTAAACTGGTAGATTTCAACAAAATCTTCAGGACCAACCCAAAATGCTTATTTAAAAAGGCAGAAGACAGCTGTAAGAAACTAAAATATGGCATGCATTCAAACATAATAGTATTTACCTACTAGAAACCTAAGAGTATGTGTAATCTCAAAGAGATTTAACAAATCAAGTTCAATTTAAATATCCGCAAAATTAAAGATATTGAAATTTGTTTTACCACCATCATCCTTTGTCTTAGAATAACAGGTACGCACCTTCTGCATACTGTATTATACTCAGAGATACAATTTTGTTTAATGCAGCACGCAAACGGAAGTGCTGGCTGTCTACTTCCGAGACGAAAGAATGGCTATGGAGAAAACATCGAAAAGAAAGCAAATACTAGTTTGTTTTTCCCCATCCAAGCGGAACCTGGTGGGCCGTTACTCAGCGACGAATTAAAGGAGTACTCTGCACATCCTCAGAACCACTTTTCCCTCCCCCGCTCTTCCCCACTCTGTACCCAAGGAGTGGACCGTAGTCAAAATCTCCCCGCTATATGCAAAGGAAGGCGGGAGCTGATCATAAAGAGCTTTCCCGTTCTCTCTTTCCCTTCCGGATCTGTCCACTCACACACTCCGAGTCGGCTGGGCTACCTCCAACCGTCACCGGCGCCTCCACATTTTCAGTACCAGCAGTAGCACCCCCGGTGCTTGCCGCTCCGGCTAAGCCAAAGCGGTGAGTGCCGCTCTGCGGGGAAGAACCTGCGCTTCCAGGCGGCGAATCGGACTCATCCTCTTCGCTGCTATCCTGCGAAGCGCGCTGCCTCCTACGATCCGCCATTTTGACAGGAACCAAAAAAGGAAACAAGAAAAACGAAACGGTTAGAAGGTGGAGGAAAAGGAAGCAAGGCCCAAAGAGGATGACGGGTACGGAAGATGACGTACAATACTGAAAAGACTACGATTCCCAGCATCCAACGCAGGTCTATTTCAAACTTTCACTCGTTCACCCAGAATTCTTTATGCTTGGACTCCGGGGCGTCCAAGATTGCGGGAAGAAGAAAATTCGCGCCCAATCGAGGGCGATGACATCACGAGAAAGCGGTTCAATAGGCGGGGGGGGGGAGCTCCCAGCAACAGTATCACGTGCTTTATATATCTCTAAATTGCTGCATGAGAGGTGGGGACGGAAGCTGTCTTGCTGAGTCAAAAATAGCATGACGTTTTCCCATTGCAGAGATTACATCACTCCAGTTTTCCTGCAGTGCTAAAATAGTTGAGGCGCAGCAACCTCTGGAGAAAACAAGATAGCCATTAATGTTTAAAACAGCGGTTTATGTAAGGCTAGGATCATTAGGGAGACGACGCAAAACGCTACCAGACATTAGGCAATGCAGCTATCAACAGTGCTGTCTTTGTGCATCATTCCCGTTACAGGACCAAATACCATAAGGAGAGGGTTCATCTCCATATTATGTACAGATCTTTCCCACTCTATATTTGATGGCAAATTCCCGGAAGATGGGAGGAGCCTGACTAAACAGGTTTCTGAGGTGTTGCTTCTTGCTTCCGTTCCACTCTGCACTGTTCAGAAATCTTTCTGATCCTCTTGAAGTTATCTTAATTCAAAGGCTACCTCATTTAATGGCAAGGAAACGTAACATGAAGTACTTCTCTTTTTTTTTGTCCTGAATATATCACTGATTAACTTCATTGGGTTGACTCCATTTTATGAGATGGAAGAAAAGTAACCCTAATCCATTTTCTGCACACTGCATTTTCATACATCCTTATCATTTCCCCTTATACAGCCTTTCCTTTAAAGGAAATGTCTTTCTTGTTTTGATGATTTTCATTGACTTCTTTGTAATTGGCAAATAACTTTATTACAGTTTCACTTAACTGTATATAATTGTCATTCTTTGGCTATAAAAATATTCAGAACATTGCTTTTTGTGTAGAGAATGGGTTAGGGATTCTTATGTTTGAGAAATATGTATTATATTTATTGTCTAATCTTTAAGGAAGATTGCCACATAGCGATGATGCCAAACCCCAAACCAGCAAATGACGTCTTCCAGTTTTATGTAAATATTGGAGAGGAGAGAGACAGAACAGTGCAGCACTCCACATAGGAGGGGCCTCAACAAACACAACTAAAGCTGTCTCAGTACTTCCTGGCCTGAAACATGACTGAATTGTATAGAGATTATCCATTTCCTTCAGGGTTTTCATCAGGTTTTTTTTTCCTACCACCTTCTCAACAATCTTCATGAAAAAGTAAAGTTGGAGACTCAACTGCAGTAAAAAACTGTTGGTTCAAAAATGGCCTCTTGAGAAAAGTCACCAGCACCACCTCTTTCACGGCTGGAAGTACTACCACTTCCTTAAAAGAAACTGACACCACAATATAGATCCAAACAAGGATCACCTCCTTGGCCACTGGGTCTCCAAGAGACCCAGATAAACTGACAGCACAGAGAACCTTGCCCATTCTTAGCAATGATCAATGACTCTTTTTTTGATATAGAAAAGGCATCGTGTTTCAGAACTGTACCTGGTCTGACAAATAAGGCAACACATAACGACAAAAGCAATATTCTTTTCATTTTATTGTAAAAAAAATTATTTCAATTTTATTTAAACATACAAGCAGAATTTCTCTTTTAATACTCCTTGTTAACACTGTTTAAACTAAATGAACAAAGCAAAACAAATTTAAAAACAAAAAATGAACATTAACAGCCACAAATTTGGTATTTACAAACTTTTTTCTTTATAAGTTATTTACAAGACAACTGATTTTACATATTGAAAATGGTATAAAAAAAGAATGCATTTGCAGACAATCACATTTGAAAGGGCCAAAAAAGAAAGAAAAAAAAAGAAAGGGAATTATAGGCAGTTTTTAGAACTACCATAAAGTTAGTTAAAAAGAATGTTTGTTTTCAAAAAAAAAACAACAAAAAAACAAAAAATATATAGTTTGCATTGGCTTTTTTCATTAACAGAGTTTTCAAATGTTGAACTCCCTACAGGGTGGGAAACTATTTTTTCCAGCCCATTCCCTTTTAACATTCACTGCAAACTGTTTCTACAAACCCTACCTACTTCCATATGCCTATTCATCTTTTTATGATGCACGTGTTATAACTGGTTGTAAGTCTTTCTGAGTCAACATTCTGTTCATTGAGGGAAGGGAAGAGGTAATCGTTTTATTCCGAATATAAATTGAATTATTTCTGATAACTGTCTTGTGGGCTAAACAAAAACATTTTCTTCTGAAAATGGAATCTTGATTCAAGAACTGATCATATGATACATTTCTAATTACTTTAGAAAAAGCAAGATCAAGTTCCAAAATCAACATTGTCTTCAAGAAGCTTCTACCAAAAATCTTTGAAACACCCACGCTTGTACTTGGCAGGGGAGAAAAAAATAACCACTTATGAATGCATGTTGGCATGCTAAAAAGCAAAAGATCCAAATACAGCCTTATTTAAAACAAAATCAGGCAAACATTTTGCACTAGTTCAACTACAATAGACTACATGGCAGAAAAGAGGATCTCTTTTAATTTCAAGTCATAGAATGTAACTTTTAACAATGTTCATACTAAGTGTGCTACCTTTGGTGGAAAAAATAGTACTTTAAATTCCCAGAAAAATCTGCCCAGAAATGTCACTGCAACTGTCCTGAACAACTGGAAATTAAAATGGAAAATGAAACAATTTTTCTCCATAAGGGATGCAGGAAAATAACATATAGGGTTTTTTTACAATTCAAGAAACTGAAACTCCCCCCATTTATCTAGAAATTTTAGCCATTTCAAAAAAAAAAAAAAAAGTTAGTTTCAGTATTCCCCTAAGCAGGCAATACACAAACAAGGCAGCTTCCAAAAATGATGTAGATCAGGCAGAAGACATGCGATTTTACAAAGGAATCCCCTATACTCAGGGAAGATGAAAGTATTGATTTCCACTTACTGTAAAAATTACAGGATTATGATTGGCTTAAAAAGTGCCAAACTTTAAAACAATCACAAACTGAAGTTGAAGCTACTTCTCAGTATTTCCACTGAGAAATCCAAACTGTCCAACTTTTTTAAAAACAGTAACAACTGTTTCAGTTTTGACAGGATATTTGGCTAAACAAAAGTAAAAAAAAACATCTAGCATTGCATGGTTAATTCAGGATTTTGCCAAATTATATACCAGAACTGTGACAAAGATGTGAAGACATGCAGCCTTTTACTACCAGGACGGCCTGCATTCAGTGTTATAAATTCAAGACCTGATTGGTAATTGTAATTTAAATTAGAAAGCATGAAAGGAACTCATTAAAAAGCCTTGAAAAGTCACTGGGGCAGGTGAAAATACATGAATCAATATGTGGATGCTTTATAGAACAGCAGTTGGAAACAATAGGTCAAATGAAGTGTCTGTGTTGTTCAATGATGGATAACCCCTTCCCCCAAACTGTCAAGGCCCTTAATTAGCAAGCTAATTATTCCTAAGGATACATATGTATATAATTTCATGTTTGTGAGGAACTCACAAATGGATGCTTGTCCATCTTTCATAGCTTCTCAGTGGATTGTACTGGTTGCAGTTATTCAATACAGCTCAACAGAGGAGGCATACCATAAATTGTTAACCTTATTCTCTCAACTCAAACCTCCAATACTTTCTACCAAGCAAAGGAAAAAAATGGAAAAAAAATGAAAATAAAACCCAGGGAGAAAAGTGTAAGCATAAAAAAATATTTATAATGAACAAGAATATACATCATGGAGGATGGTAGAAGAAAAAGACATAACAAAACATGTACTGTTCTCTGCCATTTTCAGAAAATGACACAAGCTGACCATCAAGAAAAGATTTCTCCTAGTCTGATACATTTATTTCCTGCATGTCCGATGAGGAGTCTGTTTCTTTTGCATCTCTAGCCGGCAACGACTTCGTTCATCCAACCACGGCAGTTCAAAATTCCTGCCAAACAGAAAATGGCCCATAGAAGATTATTTGTGATGTTGAAAAGAAGAGAATGGTTAGCAGTTCTGTCTACCTTTGCATAACTGGCTACAAACCTACATGTCTGGCCGCAAAGAAATTAAACACAAACCATAAGCACAATTTCTAGAAGATTTACATAACATTTGAATACAGATGATATTGAACTTTAGCTACTGAAAACTGTTTTATCAGAGCATTCTTTTACAACATTGGGTACTCTATAATAATAATGTTTGCTGAATAAACCATAATTGGCTGAGTTTACAATACCTGCTATCCTTTAAGCAATAGATTACAAGCTGCAACAAATCCATCCAACATAACGTTAAGATAAAACCTAAACAACCACATTATGGCTTAATGCAATGTGTAAAGCCAGCTGCTATTGTAGAAAAAAGTGAAACAGAAAAAAATAAAAATGTGAATTTTAATTCAAGGGAGCTAAAACTAAAAACCAATTATTTTGCCCATGTATTTTATCAATACATTTTCATCTCTTTACCTTTGCGATATGAAAGGAAAAAAACTGTGACTGCGAGAACACAAGTAATAAGAAGGCCAAAGAAATGTGATTTACATGATATTCACTATTAGGATGCAAGAATTCCCCTAAAAAAATTGGAAAGTGGGAAAGTTTTAAAAAGGGACCATTTCAAGGTTGTCCCTTATAAAGAGGATATTTTATAAGCAACAGTGTATTTCTCTGGTATAGAATTTATAGTGATAAGTATTTCATTAATCCATGAACACACAATTTCTGTTAGTCAGAAGTTACAATGAGCCTTCCAATTTTTTCATATTTCCTATTTTTTTAAAAAAAGAAGTCATTATTCATAGCCCAGTCAAAGGATTTCTTTCTCTATGATTTCTCAGTTAATTTCACTGTAAAGTCTTGAGAAAATCAATTTCCTATGATTGCCAATGCAGCATTGTCCTTAATTTTTCCAGTAGCTTATAATACTAAAATGCATCTAGGATTTAAAGGTAACAATATTGGCTAGATGCTATTTGATAAATTTTTGATGTGGCATTTTCTCATCACAATGAAACCCAAGTCAGTCCACAAAATAATAAAGCAAACAAAACACTGCATAAACAGAAACAAGATATTCTCCCACAACTTTTACAAAATACATTCTTCCTTAATGCAGATATATAATACATTGGTATACTTACTGTGGGGTTAATTTTGGTAATGGTCGGCCGAACGCTACAACAGGCAAATATGGGGTGATCAGCAAACTTTCAACTAGAAGTGGAAATGGAAAAGAGCTGCAATGTTCATTCACATTATTGTACTTATATGAAAATATCTGTTTTTACAATAGAATAATCCCAATCCAAAATTCTTTGTGCATAAGATAAGGAAATGAGAATTCTGACAACCACTCACCATCGTCTGACTCTGGGAAAAATGAGGTAACTTCAGGCTCAGATTCCTGAATTCCTTTCTTTTTATACATTCTAAGTTGCAATCTCTGCAAAATTCTTTGCTCCCGGATACGCTGAATATCCCACCTGTGAATGGAGTGAGCAAAGGAACAACAACAAAAATTTCAAATTTTCATTTCTAGGGAAATTTGAGTATTTTAGGTTTTATAAAAATCAGCATGTCAAGAGTAATGCATCTCTCTGTATTAAACAGGGTGCTTTTCAATTTCTATAGGTTATCACAAGTCTTTGTATTTCAGCCAAACCATAAAATACCCTCTTTGTAATCCCTTGCTAGATGTAAATGCTACTCTGCTTTCTTCAACTAATTGCAAATCCCAGTCCAAAATCATCCAGCACAAGTATAAGCACATGCATAATGGTAAAAAACAGATTTAAGACATACTAATTGCATAAAATCTTTCATTTTACATGTTTAACTGTTTGCAACCCATGCAAACTTTATTGTTTAAATGAAAGCAGATACTGAATTTTCTGGCATTATTTCATCACTAACCTTTTTCTCCTTTTCTCATCCAATTCCAACTTTGCATGTCGTTTGGAGAAGACATTGTCTTCTAAGTTCTGTGAAAAGTTTAATTAAGGGGGAAAAAAAGACACAAGTAATATGTGCTGTACTTTTCAGAGTATCTGAGTTCCTCTGTTTCCATTTTCTGATGGAAAGCGTTTAGGTCTGCCTTGTATGTACCATGTGTTCATAAGAAGATTTTAAATTTTGCTTTATGATAATGTACCCTCCAAGGGTAGATAAAAAGAAACAGGACTGAAGATGTTCAAAACTGATTACCAACTTTCCTTCTGGGAGATCAGATATGCTTTTTGTATCATTGCAACACCAATGGAAAAAATATTTATTAAGATATTATCACTTTTCCCATCACTGTTCATAAACACAATAGTACAAAAAATATGATCTGTCTAAAGATGTTCATTCAAGAAGCAAAATTTGAAAACATAGTGTTAAAAAAGATAAGCAAAAGTTAGGTCAGTTGTGGTGAAATTGAATAAGTTAATTACAGTTAAGAGTTTTAAATACAAATACAAACGAACAATTCTGCAAATCAGTCTTTCATTTAACAGTCTATTTTATTTAAATGATAATGTTAAGCATCTCGTATCCTGTCCCTCGAATATGAATACTAGTTGAGGAATAGGATTGGATTAGTTTTATCAAAACTGAAATGCTTGTATTGCTACAAGGATTTTGAAATTGGTTCTTTTTGGGTATTTAGCTTTCCAGTTAGAAATGCTCTGATGGTATTATTAGTATATTTCCAGCTGACATGCTCAGCATCTTTAACTGCTCAGCTATAGCACCCTTCTTTTTAAATGAATCAACTCCCAAATATATTCCTTTGAAAATGCTGAAAATTCTGAATCCATCTCTTGAAATAACATACTGAATTTATCAGAGGCTTAATTAATTAATTTGATATTTAATTTTAGGTAAATGGTAAATAATTTTAGGTAAATGGTAAATAATTTGCCATCAAGAGTTTAGACAGCTTCAGAGATCCCTCAAAATTTGTATCTCATAGCCATTATGTCGCTACTGCAGATCAAGATATAAGCATTACATAATTTACCAGAGTATGTGACAGAGATTGTCCATTTTATCTGATATTTCAATGTATGTTTTTGTAACAGTTGCAAGAAATATCTGGTTGGACAGTATGGTTTAAAAACTCAAATATATTGGGGTGGCTGTCCATCTAGTTATAGAATATAGAAAATATAGGAAGTTGTTATGGAAGAACTATAGATTACCAATTCTACACAATTATATCTAGCCATGTTGTTTAATTCTTGCTACAAAGCTATTTGCTTACATACCTCCAGAAGTTCAGAAGGATTCAGATCTCTCAGGGGCTCTACTGTGTGGTCCCTCCATGATGGAACTAAGAAAGGGAAAACAGTGTTATGATACTAATTTTAAAGAAGTATTTTAGTGAAGGAAGTGAATAATGTAACCATCCAAACATTCAGAGTTAATTTAGGTTAGACATTTCACTAGAATTAATTACTTAACACCTTCCTATCCTTTTCACCGTTCTATAGGCATATTTGAATTTTGTCTTTTTTTAGAGAACATACAATTTTTCAATATTATGATTTGAATTTAACTTGCTGTTAAACTTACTTTTAAAAACTTCCCCACACCCAAATTCACATAATGCCTTTTGATTTTATTCTCAAGCACCCTCTGACAAAGACAGCATTTACTTTATGTTTCCCAGTCAGCTTTGGAATTCTGCAAGGTTTTAATTTCAGCTATGTTCAAATATTACAATTCAAAGTGAGTGCTGTGGAATCATAATAGTTCAGTGGTAAGAAAATACTTTTTATAAAATTTTATGCATGATTTTTAGTATTTAATCTGCAAAATCAATCATGTATTTATTAATTTGCAGAGTCAATAATCCAGAACTGAGCTGAAAGGATCTCTCCTTTTATTAGGTTGTACAATTTGATACAAATCAAAATTCTCTTACAGAATACGGGATGGTTTTATAATCATACTAAGCCATAATATGGTTATCTGATTTTGGCTTAACAAATTATATAATCTTGCCATTGTGGTTTATAAATCAGATGAGCCAATAACTAACCAAATCACCATATGGCTTACAATGATATGTTACTGCAACCAATGTTTATTACATATATCTTAAATAGTTTGTAGATATTCTGGTTAAAAGTAGCTAAGAAAGTTTAATTTTAGCCAAACTTTATAAATGAAATAAAGCCCATTTACCTACATGTACCTGTATCAATCATAATCCTAAGTATCACTGTACTAAAATTAAAATTAAAATAACTTTCCGTCTATGAATTGGTCCTTATTTTTCATAAAGCAATTGCCTACTTTACCATAATCTGCTGGCTGTTAAAACAGCACCATATTTTCTATCACATCATTTGTAAAGTTATCTGGAACATTTTCTGAAAGTTGTCAAGCTAACTTTTTAAAGAGATTAATACTCTAAAATTTATCTCTGGTGAACTTTTATCCAAGATATTTACAGAGGCCTTACAAATTAGATCTAATAGAAATTGTCACCAAACCTTCTGAATTTAAACCAGCTCTAGCTCCCCTTGAAGAACTGGCTAAATACACAGGATCCGGCAAGAGACATTGGCTCAATACTTTTTAAAAAGAGAAAAGGATTCATGAATACTTATCCTTGAGAATAACAAGTGAAAATTTTGAGAGTGTTTGAGACATATGATCAGGTAGCTATTTTCATTGTGCTTGACATCTGAACTGCCCAAAAGTAACAAATTGGCTGCAGATGGAAGTAAGCTGGTGGACTTAATGAACCTTTAATACAGCAAGGCAGTTATTAAGGCACAAGCACTTATTATGTTAGCTAAAACAGCCAAATAGGCAAGAGCAAAGCCAAAGTCAGAAAGAGAGATTAGGTTCTCAATTTGTTATTGTCTTTTACTATACAATTAGAGATTAAGAAAGATCTAATTTAACCTTCAAATTACTTTGCAGCTTCTCCAACAAATATATTTTTCATTTTGTGACACTCTATAAAAAGAATAGCAAAATAGCTCATTTCTGTTTAGGTTCAAATTGGTAAAATATGGAACAATATCAACATCTTGTAAGTTATCAATTTTATTGGAGAAGATTGAAAATTTTACAACTGAAATTGGAGACACAGAAAGGAACTTGTTCAAAATAGCGATATTCAGCAGCAGTTCTACTAACTGGAAGAACATTGTTTTAACAGTATTACCCAAAGGAAAAAAGAATACCATAGTTAACAAGTTAGTTTGTAAAAAATCCGACAGTTTGATGAAAAAGAATGAAACGGTTTGAGTTATATCTTCATTGGGAGTTTCTGTGAAAAAAATCAAGCTAACAGTTGAATAAACGGTGCTACTATGGAAAACATAATAGCAAATTCTCTCTTATTTTAATAGCTGCATTCAACATATTAAACCTTAAACTAACTAGAACATTTTAGTTTAATGTGTTGTGTGAATTAGCCCATAATTTATAGTTTTGTATTATACTTAAACCATAGTAATATTATTTTACAAGTTAATATGATATATGATCCATGCAAAGTAATCATTTCAAGACCACTACCCATTACACAGTGATACTTATGGAGAAAGGCTAGCAGGGTTAACCAAACTATGTATGTAATATTTTGTCACATATCTTCTTCCATGTTCCTTCAAGGCACCTAGAGAAATTATATAATACACTATAGTTTATCTTATATGTTTAAAAACTGATTGAAGAAAGCCTGCTGTTGGTCATATTTCAGTAATACTGCCCTGACAATTAATGATGAGATATATTAATATTCATGGAAGGAATCAACTACTTCTTAAAAAGGCTACAAAAAGGAATTTAAAACAAGCTGTTCTGCACAAATTCATATAATGGTTACCCTCTATCTGACTAAAACTGCATGATGCCCCTCCTCTGAAATAAGGATGTATATGCTTTTCTGTAAATATTTAATTCCATATTTCAAATATAGTTCTCATGGATAAAGATACGAAGGAATGCTGAAAGTATGCTTGCAATGGTTTAAAGTCTCAAACATTAAGCTGCAACATGCTTTCAATTGTTTACACTATAAACCAATTAAACTATCATGACTTCTCTTTAGAAAACCTAAAAATTAATTCAATAAAAAATGCAATGATTTCAAATGATTTGATGTTTTGAGAAGACTGGAATCTACAAACAATGGCCCTTTTCTTTTGATCCTTTATCTTTCCAAAATTTCAGCTCATGATCTTGCCAGCTACAATCCTTTCCTTGCTATACAGTCTTGGCTCAATTCAGTAAATTATGTAAACATTACTTTTTATCATATTTTACATAACAAATTTGGAATGTCAAATTTGAAATGCTAGATGAAGACCTGTTTTAATACTGAAGAGTACAGGAAAAACTCTAGCAGCTCGGAATACTGATTCCTATAAGAATCTAGGCAACAGAACAGATAAAGTCTGAATAGGGCAAAACCCATATTTATGATCTGTCGTTGTCTAATTAATTATACAATATACCATCATTCAATGCTTATCTTCTTATTATCAGCTTTTATACACACTTAAATGTACCCCCATGTTTTATGAAATATTTTAGTTATTTTTAACTTATAAAATAAGAATTAAAAATGACACATATTAATTTACTAAGTCAGATCTTGTTTGCAAATATTGACTTATTGACAGTCAGACTGCATAACCATAACCATTGTTCAATCTGCTCTCAAGGATAGAAAAAATGTCAAATCTCTTTCCATGGCACACCTAGAATCTATAGCTTGCTGTCTTATCAATCTAGTACTAGAAGTCATGGTTTGTTCATGTTTCAGATCCTTGAGTTGCTTGTAAGAAGCAAGATAAGGATCCTGGTTTACAGAACAATCTGATTAAAGACTTTTTTCATTTATCCATTCATACTTATAAAAGAGGTCAATTAGCAGCAACAGAACAGTGTGTAGCAGTACATTAGCTTGTTGACAAGGCAAAATTCTAGAATATTTGTCATGTGTGGACCGGTCCTGATCTTATATCCTTTGTTCCAATATAAAGTACAACTGGAACTTTGCTATTCCTTTTCTTAACAATGCTACGCTACAGGTATAATCAAGACTTCAAAAACAGTTGACTTTACATCATATCTTAGCATTATATCATACCATGGTGGCACAGTGGTTAGAATGCAGTACTGCCAGCTGCCAGCAGTTCAACAGTTCAGTTCTCATTGGCTCAAGGTTGACTCAGCCTTCCATCCTTTCGAGGTCAGTAAAATGAAGACCCAGATTGTTGGGAGTAATATGCTGACTCTGTAAACCGCTTAGAAAGGGCTGTAAAGCACTGTGAAGCGGTAAATAAGTCCAAGTGCCATAACTCAGAGGTCCCCAACCTTTTGGGCACCAGGGACCAGTTACACGGAGAGAGGTTTTTCTGTGGACTGAAGGGGGCGTGCTTTTGTGTGCTGCCTGGATCCTGCAGATGGAGCTTTCCTTGTTTGTGTGGACCGATTGCTGGCATGCCGTGGACCGATACTGGTCCACGGACCTGGGGTTGGGGACCCTGCCGTAGCTATTGCTATTTTATTACATTAGAACTTTGGCAATTCATTATCTTTATAATTTTTTTTAATAGTCTGATCAGACTAACTTAATCATGGTTCTCTGCTAATCCTCCTCTTCTCTCTTTTAATCCTCAGCTGGGCTAACATTTATACCCAATCTGTAACATGAAGCCCATTTTAATTATACTTATTTTTCTACTTTTCCTTCTGTTCTTTCTTCATTTAAAGTAAAATAGCTGCTGACAGAATGTATACCTCAGTTCAGAATGCACCACTCATTTGGATATTGATTCAGAGAGATTGATTTCAAAACTTAATTCCATCTTGTCACACAGGGTGACAATTGTTATAGCAGAACCCTTATATTTAGGATAAACAACTGCCACAAAAGCTTAAACTTAGTAACTGAAATATCAGAGTAACTTTGCAGTATTGTAGTCAAAATAGGCTATCACCGAGGTGTTGCCTAGGAAGGAAATGAAAGCAATACCAGACTTCTCATTCACACAAACAAGTCCACTTCTCTTGGATCACTTAAGCTAATTTGTAAGAATTAGTTAGCTGATACACTTTCTTTCATGTGCACAAACCAACCCCCCGCCCCGCATGAAATATCATGAAAGGGAGCAGATGGTGACAGAAAGGGGTGTTTATTGCATATGTTGTCAGCATATTGAGACATAAATGTCACTGTTATTCATAAATATCACCACAGGTCATTAAATAGGGTGGGTTGTTCTTCATACACTGCTCACACTGCAGTCTAGAATAGGGAGGGTTTCAAAGGCTTTGATATTCCAGACTCAGTCTATCACCCGCATTAGCATCACTCAGAAATGGAATCTTGCTTTCTAGCTGTCTTCAGATGTTCAAAAGGTTCTTAAAAAGACCCCCAATTAATGAGTTCCATGCCCCCTCCATCCCAACATCAGGCCAATCACTACAAAGGGATAAGCAAGTCTCTTACTTGCTACAGTCTCCTCCTTCTTGGGAGAAGGTTCTCTCAACGGAGAAGGAGGTGGTTGATGCCAACGGCACAAATACATTTCAGTGGTGGAAAGATACGGCAAATCTTCTATTTCACTGCAGGGGCCTTTGTCCTTTGAATGGCACCCAGGTCCTTTCAATGGAGTCGAAGACTTCAACTGCGTATCCACTAATAATCTTGTTTTCTCTGGAGTCTCCTGACTTCGCAGTTCACGTCTGCTTATTGATTCAGTTAAAGAACTACTGGGTTCCTCCTTTAATGGAGAAGCCTTTGGCGTTTTACATTTGACTCTTGAGAATTCAGCTACCAGCTTCTTCACTGGCGTTTTCCTCTCGGCACTTCCAAACGCAGATTTTCTGCAAAAGTACAGGGAAAGGCTAATAGTAGCAAATGGAAAAAGGCTATAAAGGACCTTAGTTCTTATCATGATAATTAAAATTAGAAATTAAGTTAATGTTTTAGTTCTAAGATTTAAAGGAAATTTACATATGGATTTAAGAAGAGCTTTTTTGAACAAGTCACAAGATTTACTTGAGCACAACTATTAGGCTCTCAGAACTTAGAATCGTGCCAAATCAACAAAAATACTATCTTATAGCTCCTGATCAGCTAGAAATAGACTTGATCACATCAATATTTAGTAAAAACCCTAGTTTGAATAAAAACCAGCAATCAGTAGATTATTGTGAATCAACAACTGTAAGTAATAAGCTCTCTGTCTGAAATCTAACCTCATTATCATTCCATCTGTAAATGTGGGGGAGATGCAACAGCATTAATATTCCTTTACAATAAAGTTGTGGGGTGTGCATAAAGTTGTAAAAGTGTGCATAAAACATTTCCATTGCTATAAGATAGTGTAGTAATTAACATTTTTAATCACAGATCTGTCTTTAAAATTCTTCTATATAAGATTTTTTACCATCAAAATATGTTATATTTTAAAAAACAAAAGACAATGTAAGAAATGATTATGGACATGGTGGTAAAAAAAATGGACTGTAAGGCTAGAAAAGTAAGTAAAATACAATAAATATGTTTCCTTTTTTTTTTCCTATTGCATTTTTAATTTCTTTGGCCTACTACTTAGTATTTTCTTTCTGCACTCTGCATAAAGTTGCTTACCCTAAAATAGAATAGTAGAATGGATGTATAAGACACACTGTGTCCTCTTTTTTGCCTTGGCAAAAGGGAGGATCAAAGACATATCAAAACATTAACGTATCAACTTAAGTACCATGATGCTTATCATTACTAAAAGCAATATTTCCTGCAAGTAATTCTATTTAAGAGACAACTATAAGGAAGGGTGTCGCATTTGACTCATCATTTGGCTCTGAAGTGAAATTCATATTCTCCAATGACTATCTAGGGAAAACACAAATAAATAGAACTTTTTTTTAAAAAAAAACCCAACAATATACAATTAAATTACAGGCAAAGTAATCCAACATACAAAAGGTGGGTTTCCCCATTCAAATTTGGAATGTTAAAAAAATACAAATCAATCCCCTCTATTGTTTGGTTGACAACTCTCAATCAAATTGTAGACATTTTAGCACAACTTATCTAATTAAAAAAAAAGCAAGTGCATAGATTTTAATGCTAGGTGTCTTTACATTCTAATCAAATCCAGTTAAGTTTGAATTACTGAACTGTGGTTTGGAGATCTGGTTTCACATCAATACTCAATACTTAATAAATTGAATTTGATTCATCTGCAGTATATCCCTAGTCAATATTTTTGATATTAGGTTTAACCACTGATGTTTTCCTTAAAAATTAAAAAAATAATTTTGCAGGATATTAGGATTTGTTTGTAAGTAATAGAGAGTGTTTTATAGAACAAAAAATTTCACAGTTCATTGATCAAAATCCTAACAGAATAGGTTTACAAACATAACTGTAGCTTTCTAGTTTTACCGTTTGTGACCCTTCCCATTTCTTCCACATGGGAAATGTTTCAAAGGCAGCGGCTGGGAAGTCTCCAGGAGTTCTTGTGATGGGCATTCTATAGGCAGCTTCTCTAATGTATCAGGGTCAACTTTTTCTTCTGTTTCATACTCTTGAAATATTTTGTGTTTGTCACGCTCATTGTCCTTCTTCACCAACTGCATCCTCCTTTCCATACGCTCAATTCGAGCAAGAAGCTAAGAACACAATATTGCAATTTGGTATTAAAGGATATTACATTAACTAAATACAATATTAGTAATTACTAATACTCACTCAACTTTGACATTATATAGAAACAAAGTGCAACTTCTACAGAAGTTACATTATTTTAATATTGATAAGCCTGCAGGACTTACCAATATATTGTATACATGTAGTCCTCAATTTATGATAATTTAACCCAAAATTTCCTTTGCTAAGCAGGATAGTTAAGTGAGTTTTGACCCATTTTTACAAACTTTTTTGCTACAATTAAGTAAATCACTGCAGTTATGAAGTTATTAAGTTGTGAAGTAACATGGTTGTTAATTGAATTTAGCTTTTCCATTGACTTTGTTGGTCAGAAGGTCACAAAAGATGATGACATGACCCAGGGACATTACAATCATTATAAATACATGCCACTTGCTGCATATCCAAATTTTAATCATGTGACTACGGGGATGCTGTAAAATAAGTGTGAAAAACAGCCATAAGTCACTTTTTTCAGTGCTGTTGTAATTTTGAATGGACACTAAATAAATAGTTGTTAAGTTGAGGACTACTGTAATGATTTGTTTAAAATAATTCTTGACAAGACTGATACCATTTGGATGTAGGGAAGAACAACATTCTTTTCCAAAATATATTATCACCCATTTTCACTAAATGACCAGTAACAGTAATCCTCTCTGCATTAAATATACATACTATGTTGTATAGCAGTGTTATTATATTAGCTACCCAAATGAGCATCTCTTTGCCAGGATTCAATTTTTGTTTCAAAAAAGAAGTCTACTTTCTTTTTATGAGAAAATACTAGTACATGTAAACCACCAGAGAGAATGTTTAGAACTGTCTGCTATGGATTCAAATGCACTTATTTGAAACTTGTTAAACCATACTCAACTTTTCTTGAGATTGCATGGCAGTTTCAAAGAGCGAAAGTGCCACCTGGGAAAATGTTTACTTTAAAGCTTTAAAAAAAATGCAACAGTGCATATATGCCTGTTCAGTATAAACTAAAGCTGTATTTGAAACAGCTCTAATAATGTAGGGGTTCAATTTCCAAATTAATGGATCAATTGCTTCTATGAGAGAAAGGTGAAATTTCTGTTACAATTAAAAATTTAGAGAAGCAACACTTACTACTATCTTAGATTACTTTCTTTGTTAATGCAAGCTGGACCTATGCATAGCTAGTCTTTGATGTACAATTGGTTGCTTAGAGGCCAAAGTTACCATGGACTTCCTTGGGGATATTTATGACCTTGGATTTGAAGTTCTGATGCACCGGCCCATGGTCATGTGATGGCATTTCAGGCACTCAGCAATTAGCTCGCATTTATGGTTATTTGCAGTGTCCCATGGTCATACGACCAGTTTATGACATAATTGACATTTACTTTAATTTTCAGCAAAACCAGCCCATAGCAAACCATTTCTTCACTTTAAAAAATGGGTGATCCCAATTTATGATCATCACAAATTACAATCATGATGGGCAGTCTCCATTATGATCTTAAACTTCAGGACTATCTGTATGTTCTATCTGAATTATATGTACATAGTGTACATTTAACATTTCAATTTAGGATATTTTTACTTCCAGAATATTAAATTATAGATTCTTCAAGAATCACATTACCTCAATATCTGCATGAAGTTGACTAAATAAAATTTTGAGAATGCTTTCTGACTCAGAAACTGGCAAGGTGATTGTCCCTGACACTTTCCTTCAACCCATCCCATCTCACAGAACTATGGAGGGGAAAACAGGAGGATGGCACAAAGCATTTAGAATATTGAAACAGAATTTTAAAAAATTATTGGCTGAACACCAATAACTAAAAAGGAATACAAGTGAAATTATCCTATATTTATAGGCCCTCAAGTTTACAAAAAAACGAAGAAAAGTAATGTTTTAAGTATTTTTACCATATTGGCTTGCCTTTTTTTAATTAAAAGAATGTAAAAATAAAATCAGATGAACAAAGAGCCTACCATATTCCAAGGGAGATATTGCAAGAACATAAGGACCCCATAGGTGTTGTCACTTAAAGAATATACATTCTGTTCCAAATTATTTATCCCCCCTCCTCCATTTCGGTCACAGCTATAGAGATAAGATTGATTTAAAGTATTGCAAAAAGTTTCTGATGGCTTTCAGGTGGAATAATAGTTTGACAGCCTGGCAGCTTCACACATTTTACAAAAACTCATTTCCCCCACCCATGATCAGACAATGCAAACAATATGTATGAGAAATATTGCTAAGGAAGGGTGTGAGGAACACCAGCAGTTCTTTTCAATGGGCAGTAAAGGTGAAGGAAAAGTGATGGGAGGGGGAGAGGGTAAAAAAAGTGCAGATGGTAATCATGCACTGCAGTCAAGGCCTCAGACCTTTACTTATTTATTGAGCTACCCAGATGTTAATTCTTAAAACTGTACAATTTAAAACCAATTTCCAAAAAGCTTTAAAAATTAGTATTGTAGTAACATGTAAGAGGCTGATGATATGAAGGAGGATATTCCAGTATTTATATAACTGAAACTGAAGAGATTCCTCATAGGAAAAAAGAGAATCACTGTGTAGATCTTAGAAATCTGCAATTAACACAATAACAATCAAACCAGCAGTTCTAGTATCCACCTAATTCACAAACTTTCATTTAACTATTCTGTGCATATACTAGCTCCTCCTGGTGTGCATGTTTATGATTTGCTCTTTTTTTGCAAGCTTGTGCAGAAATATGTGAACCACTCAGCCTCCTATCATAATATCCTTGACAGCAAAATGGCAGCTGACTCCTTCATATTGGTTAACTTTGCACAGGCCTAAGATTTTTTTACACTGTAATGTTGATAACACACTTCTGCTACAAAACAGTAAAATATTGAATAATTATGCTGCTACTTCCTAAAATCAGATGCTAATGCTACTAGCCTACCCCACATGCACTTTGAACATAGACCCTGAAGATTAGGATTAAAGCAGAAGAAAGTATTTCTTTCCTTAGTAATAATGGGTACAGCAGCTGCAAGAACTGGGAAGAGGGGGCTATTTTTAGGCTGCAGACTTGTCATGCATACAGGATAGAATTAAAATCCTTTCTGGCGATTTAGGGACAGGAGCTGGAGGGGGAACCGTTAAAATAATAAATCATCAAACAACTATTCCAGGACCACAGCTAAGAAATGTACATTATGCACTTCTTCCTTCAGATAGTACTCTCTTAAAAACAGCAAAATAAACCTTCATTTGCAGCTGATCCACATTCTCTTTCCCCAGTCTTCAACCCATACCCCATTTACCCTATTAAAAAAGCAATGGACACTTTCTTATAAATCCCCATGCTTGTAGTAGGTGTCTCTTTTGTATGGAAAAGTAGAATTCTCCATTAACATCAGCTCTCATACTGCAACTTCATAGGTTGTGGATAGCAGAATTTTACATCATTTATATCATTTTACATTGGGGAAAGCAAGATAGGGTAATGTAGGGTCTAGACAAAGATAAAAAGGAATACCTTATCAGAGTGGCACATTTTTTTCGGTAATATTGATAATTAAAAAGTAGATTGTGCTTTTGGAAAATGAGAGAGGAAGGAAATCCCACAAAGGGAGGTAGAAGATAGCACCAAATCTACATCTGTAAAAATCTTTTAAATGTACCAGTTAAAAGGCCTTCTCTCCCCACATTTGGTGTCCACATGACATAAGCTGCAGTTGGTTGTTTTGCTGTCCCCTTTAAATTAACTCATTTTCTGCCATATACTTCCCCCAAAAAACATGCCTGTTGCTTTAAGTTAACCCTGATGTTGCCAAAGGCTTCCTGCTCTGGGGCCATATACCCTTCCTCCTTCTACATAGCTGCAACTCTTTCCAAAATGTGTCTCCAAATATTATATATCTGGACTGTACTAGTGTCCTTAATCCCACTATCAGGTAACCAAATCACCCAGTCTTCTTGACTTAACCTCTAGGTTATTAACCTTATAGGTTGCTTAACCTGACATATATCAATATTACAAATCCAATTAATTACAAGCTAACACTTTATAAACATTATATTGCTGTTTGTTGTACTGATTATACAGAAAGTGAAATTCCATTTTTGAATTTTTTAAAAAACTCTTATTTCCTAGCCACAGTTAATCTCTTTCATACTATTCCTATATTTGATTTCCATTTCAGAAGTCAAACTCTTTTATCAACTCTTCTATGGCACTAACACACCCTACTGAGACTGGTGGGGGAGGGGGAATATCTCTGTTGAATTCTTAATCCTTCTTGTTTAACTTTCTATCTACAGCAACTCATTCCCAGAACTAGGTGCCGAAATCATATACTTTGCTCTCATCTCTTTACCTATTATCAGCCCTACCCCATCTTTCTACACATTCACTCTCACTAAGCATGTGCATCCTTCATTAGGCGCCATGCTTTACATTAATCCCTCCCACAGTTAACACCAGGATCCCGAAACTAACCCTTCAAAAATCAGTGCACACCCAACATTTATTAACCCTTGAGTTACCACATTTTGCCTGAACATTACTCAATCCAACTTGAACGTTAGCCCCTTCCACCCCACATTACCGATCACATAACTCACTGTGTCCCTCTCGGCTTTGAGTTCTTCGATCTCCTTTTCCTTGGCCTGCAACTGTTGCTGCTGCTGCTCGATAAGGTCCAACTGGAGCAGCAGGATCTGCTTGAGGCAGGCCGCCTGGCTGGAGTTGCCCCCGCCGGCCCCCATGGGACTTTTCCGAAGGCTGTTCCCGCCGCCGCTCCCGGTAGTGCTGCTACTACTAGCACTTTTCCACTTGCCGCTTGGTTCCGATGAAACCGGAGAACCCCCGGATGCCACTGCTGAGGGTGGAGGTTGCCCAGGTTCGGCCGTAGCGGAAGCCGACGACAGTAGCGCTGGAGGCGGCGGCGAGAGAGACGCTGGAGGTCCTCCAGGCCCGGCGTGGGAACCGCCGCGCTTGCCGTCTTTGGCGGCAGCAGCAGCGGTGTGTCCGGGCAGCACCGCCTGGTACTTGGAGGGGCGGGAGCTGCCGGCGGCATCGCCCACGCCCGCTTGCCGAGTACTGCCTGCCGGGCACGGCGAGGGCACTAGGCCGCCCCAACAGCAGCCACCGCCGCCGCCTTCCTGTTGCTGTTGTCCGGGAGCCGCAGCCGCCGGAACTATTGCCCGGCCCTTGGGGCCCGCTGCAGCCACGGGGGCCGGCACGGGAATTTGGTTCTGCGGGGGAGGCGGAGGCTGGCGGAGATGCGGCGGCGGCTCCTCCTCTTCCTTCGGGCCAGGCTCTAGCAAGCCCGGCCCCGTCGTTGTCGTTGTCGCGGTTGCTTTGTAGACGGTCGATCTCATGGCGATGCAGCACCTTCAGTCTCCAGATTCTGCCGCGACGTCGCCTCCGCCTCCCCCTTCTCCTCTCCGCTGCCGCTCCAAATTCCCCACCTGGACCCCTCCTGGGGCACCGCCGTCGTCGCCACCCGCCCCACCAAGACCCATCGCCTCCCTTTCTTCCTATACCACCTTCCCCCGGCCGAGTCACCAACCTTCACAGCTCCCTGCCGCTAGTGCAAGAACCATCTCTTTGATTTTCTTACTCTTCTTTTTTCAGACTAAGGGAGTGCCAGCCCTGCTGATGTAGGAAAAGCAAAGCAGGGGCCCTGCTCGCTCTCCAGAATAGAGGGGCCGCTTCCTAATAAATGCGGCTGATCCGCTTAGATCAGTCTTAGTTTCTTCTGCAAGAAATAGTTGGGGGAGGGGTGTGTTTGCTTCACCCTTTCCTCCCCCCAAAGGTTCCCTTGGAAAGAAGAACGTGAAAGGGGTGGCTTTTGGGTTCTTTCCTTCTAACGGACACAGTGGTGCCCAATGGGTATTGGGGAGGGTACTGATCGGGAAAGGGGATTACGTCTTTCCTCATCCAGCAAAACTGGTAAGAGAAAGCTTGTGGGCTGACCAACTAAGCTGCCAAATCCCCTCTTTCTAGCGGACCCTCCTCACTAGGAAGAAACCTCCCTCAAGAATGTGGGAAAGGTTACCAGCGTTCCACAATCTACAGGAAGAGCGGTATACAACACACGGTGTTGTGTCTTGTACATTGGAAATGGGAAGCTAACTGATTTCCTGCATAGTATCTCGCTCGCCTATCCACTTTTCCCCGAGCCTTTCTGGAAATAAGGTGGCCCCATATTCAGAAAAAGAGCGCTGTGGAAATTAAGGGCTTCCTTCCACCTACTCTTTATTAATAAAACGAGTAGGGTGGACAAGTGTTACGGAAAGGACTACTTTTACAAGCAAGTTAAGGACTCCTGTCAGCCTTAGCGAGGGTGGGATGGGGGCTACATATAGATAGGCTTCTTTTGCAAGGCGCAGGGGTGTAAGAAAACACTCCCTCCTCAAATACTTATTTTGAAGGGATGCGTGGCCTGAAGAGTCCACAGGAGACGCGAGAATTTTCAGGCGTTTCTCCCTTTGCTTCTCCTTTTCTAAGCCCTAAATCTTATTTTTGTCACATTCTGACAACACGGCGGAGTTGGGAAGGGGGGAAATTCGGTGCAAAAATCCAGAGCTTCCCTTCTGTTGAATCAGTTACCTTTAAACGGCCGCCATGTTCCTGGCCGCCTCCCAGCACTACGCATGCGCCAACCGCCATTGAGGGATGAAAGAGAAGCATCCTGGAAGGAGGGAAGGAGGGAGGGCGGGGGCAACACTTCGATTAGGTGGGGAGGAAGGGAAGGGAAGATAAAGACGGGGAGGAGTAACGCAAGAGCGGCGGGAGCTAGGTTGAGGAGCTTCCCGCCTCTGCTACCCGTGCTAATGTATTATAATGTATGATATGCATAATACAGATACAGAGCCTTCTACAACATATGAGATATTCATTAAATACCATCTCCAAAATCAGAGATCTTGAGAATGCGGAAAAAAGTATTATTCGTTTATATTAATACACTTCGAATTTCAACAGGCATAACTCAACAGCTAGGGTTCCACTAGTCGATGTTTCCAGTGAAACTTTACAATCCTTGAGACTTTGTTCTGAGCGAGGTCCACAATTCGATGGCTCAAAGTTCCAAGCAAACATAGCCTTCCCCAATCTGCTCTCCAACTGTGAATTTACATATTTGGAAAGGTCCTGGATTGGAAAAGGTGGTAGAATACAACAGTAGCTTCACAAATGAACAGACCTCTTCCACAGGGGTCTCCATCAAGGACTACTTTGAAAGGTTTAATTATGATAATCTTTTCATTTCTATTTTATGAACCTCAGTTGCCCAAACTAGGCTGGGCAGAGGAGATCAAGAATTATAATCCCATCTGGTAACAAGCAGGCGTGTAGGAGACTGCATCTTAAAATGGAAACGGAGGAAATGATAACCAGCATAAATTAACAAATGTAGTGATCGAAAGGAAAAAATATATATCTATTGTAGGTCTAATAAAAGAGATGAAGTTTTAATCAGAATTGAGGTAGTTTGCTCTTATAGACTGAAAGGCATGTGGGCAAGTGTACTTTTAATTATGAATCTGTGGGAAGTCAGCCCCTCCCCAACGGAAATATTTTGGAGAATATTAAAAAGGCAGAATATTATATTTCCCCAAAGGATCTTAAAGGCAGAAAAGGTAGTTTTTCCTAACAGCACCAAACAAACTGAGCAGGCCAGCTCTGTAGAAAAGCAGATTTGATAATCCCATTCAGAAAGACTGAGGCCCCATTCACGAGCTAATACTACTAATATTTTGAAATCTCTTGCAGCAAAACTGATAGCTAACAATAACAGAATGATAGAATTAGAACCAGCAACCCTTCACCCAAAAATCCAACACAGGACACAGCCATCAGCCCCAGCCCTAGAGAAGCAGGACATAATAGGATTAACCCACCATCATCAGAATACCAAAAGGACACACTCAAAAGCTCAGGTCACAAGTTCATGCCATAGGAACAGGAACAACTCCAAACACAAGCCCAAGAAGGTATAAAAATGCATCATTCCCAGCTCCATGTGGTCAGCTGGCCCAGAACCACATTTCTGTCTGGTTCTGCAACTCAATAAACTGGAACGTTCCTTCTAAGTAGCCTCCATCTTTATTTCCAGCAACCTCCATTTTTGTTTACTCCCGGTTTGAAACTGGACTGAAGATTTTTTTTTCAACAAATGAAAGAGCCAATATATATCTGAAACTATGCCTTGATAGTTGTAGAAGTTGATGAATGTAAGAATTCTTGGCTAGTGATAGTTATGTGCTATATTCCAATTAATGCTGGGATTAGAAGAACCAGGGATAAATTTTCTGAGAAATTACAACATTCTAAAACGCTGCAATCTAGATGAAAAAAATGTTCTGTTGGGAAGGTGGAAAACAAGATTCAGCCATTTTGGAGACCAAAAATGAGTGAAAAAGTTATTCTACTTACAAAATGGTTTGTTTCAAATATAGTATGTGATTTAAGCAACAACATAACATAACAAAGGAATCAATACAAATCTGAAAGCATGATTGATTTCTTCATGATGAAAGCGAAAGAGGGCTGATGAGAGATTCTGAGTGTGCAAGCAACAAGTCATGTTATTGTTAGTGCCAAAAGGGGGTCTAGAGGAAAACCATAGATTGATCTTCTATCAGAATTAATGTAGAGTTGAGATAAGAGAACGTAGAAGCTATTTGGAACAATGTGAAAAAGAATTGTTATAGATTGCCACAGAATTGTGTGGAATTCCACTAATAGAAAATACAGAAATGGATGTCTGAGTTTGTGAAATAGAAAAGTCCCTATAAGAGAACGTTTGCTGAAAAAAATGAGAATAAAATAAAGAAATGAAGATGCTGTATGGGACTTCTTAGAGGAGTCCACTTGTTTTCTACTGCATTAACTTTAATTCACACAGCAAAGCTCTCAAAGTATGATGCAATAATTGGTCAGCTAATCACTGAGCCTGTCACTGATTTGGGGCTGAGATGAAATGACTATGTAGTGTAAAGTGTATATATTGTAGGGCAGGGGTGTCAAACTCACAACATCACATGACAAGTTGCGACATATCGTGACTTTTTTGCTATTGCTCGCAATGGGGTGAGCACGGTTTTGCTATGATGTATAGGGCCCATGGGCCAGCAGTTTGACACCCCTGTTGTAGAAGGAAAAGGCTGCTGTAAAAATGTAGTTAAAGAGAGGCAAAGTGTATATGTTTCAAGAAAGAAGAGAAAATGCAGAATAATTTTTATGGAAATCAATTTTGAGAAGTGGGTAAAGAAGACTAAACAAGGAGGCTTTAGCTGAGTTGTTATTTATAATTTTTTGGTGTACTATTTTTGTTCTCTCTTAATTCTCTTCCTACAGTACTTATCTTGTTTATCCTAACAGGAAATAGCGTGTTAGGCATGCATGCATGCATCCATCCATCCATCCATCCATCCATCTATCTATATCTACCTATCTATCTACCTAGAGTTGGATTCAGCACAGAATATCAGAATAATAGAGTTGGAAGGGATTTTGGAGGTCTTTTTGTCCAATCCCCTACTCAAGCAGGAGACACCGTACCATTTCAGACAAATGACTGCCAATCTCTTCTTAAAAACTCTAGTAAAGGAACATCCATATCTTCTAGAGGCAAACCCAGTGGTGAGATTCAGCCAGTTCGCACCAATTTGGCAGAACTGGTAGCTAAATTTTTGTTGCCCAGGCCCAGAATGGATTTCCAGAAGTGGCATCCACACAGAGAACTGGTTGTTCACATATTTGAATCCCACCACTGGGCAAACCTTTCTACTTATTAATTGTTCTGTCAGAAAATTTCTCCTTAGTTCTAGATTCAATCTTTCCTTAAAGATCTTCCACCCATTTTACTTCTTGTCCTGCCCTCAGGTGCTTTGGAGAGTAGGCTGACCCCCCCTTTCTTTGTGACAGTCCCTTAAATATTAAAGATTGCTATAATGTCACCCTTAGTCCTTCTCTTTGTTAGACTAGACATAGCTACATACTGTTCTTCATATGTTTTAGCCTCCAATCCCCTAATCATCTTCTTGTTCTTCTCTTCTTATTATTTTGTATTATGGTAACCAGAATTGGACGCAATATTCCAAGTGTGATCTTACCCAAACATTCATTCTAAAGCAGTACTTGGACTTAATTTGATCTTGATTATATCCCCCTGTTAATGTAGCCTAGCAGTTGCAGCTCATATTTGGCTCATATTTAAGTGTTGTCTACTACTAGGATTTCTAGATTCCTCTCACAGCAACTGCTGTTGAGCAAGTACCACCTGTGCTTTTGGTTTCCTTGCCTAAATGTAAAACCTTATTTTTCTCAATACTGAATTGCATTTTGTTGGATAGAGCTCAGTGTTCAAGTCTGTCAAGATCCTTTTGGATCTTGAGCCTAACTTCTAAAGTGTTGGCTATTCCCCTGCAGCTTGGTGTCTCCTTCTATCCTCTCATCTAAATTGCTAGTGACGATGTTGAAGAGTACTGGGCGTAAGACTGAACCACTGCATGCTTTTCTCCATGTAGTTTATGTAGCAAGAAAGGTACAAGCAACATACAAGCAAAGAAACTGTAAGACAGTGAAGAAGAACACTCAGGAAAATATTATGTTAATCATATCAGACATCAAAAGGAATCAAGTTATGAGAGCTAATGAATATTCCCTATTTTTCTGGTTTTCTTGCCTCATTGCTATTGGATATATTGCCAAAAATAGGATCAGCTACATACACATGACAACTTTGAGAATAGCAGAAGTACATTTTTTAAAAAAATTAAATTAGTATTTTTAAACAAAACATTTGATATATTTACTAGCTACAGAATATTTCTGGAGGGGAAAATTTAAGACATTCAGAATGAACAAAGAATATGGATAAGATTGTGGCGGGCTGGCAGACTGAACAAAAAACAAGCACCACAGATGAAAATTTATTTATTTTTATTTTATTTAGAAAATGTATATTGCCACCTACTCACACATGACGACTCAAGGCGGCTTACAGGACATAAAAGCACAATATAAGAGAAATAAAAATAATAATAAAACATAAAAATAATAAAATAACCCCCCACCCACCCAGGCAACAATACATATTCATACCAGCCATTTAATGTGCTCCATCCCGCTCTGGGTTCCCCAGGCCCGTTGGCAGAATCACGTCTTAGGGCCTTCTAAAAGAGTGTTAGAGTGGGGGCCAGTCTAATTTCCGAAGGGATGTTCCAGGGGAGGGAGCCACCATGGAGAAGGCTCTTCTTCTGGGTCCCACCGGATGTATCTCCTTAGGCAAGTGACTCACAACAGTCCTTGCCTCCCCTCTCTAGTGGGTCAGGTAGTATGTGTTTAGTATGTGTTATATTTTTGTTTCCAGTGTTTAGTATGTGTTATATATTTGTTTCCAGCCAAGGTAATTGTTCTTAGTTTCCACTAAAGTCACAGGACTTTGAGTCACAAGTTGTTTCAATTATTTCTACAGCACCTTAATTCAATCAACTTTGGATACCGTTAATAAATCATTATAAAATAGGATAAGAAACACTAATGACATATGAGTAATTATTTTAAAGATTTGTCAAATACCACATGAATTATGCAGAATTAAATCAACAGTTAATATTTTATTAATGGAGATATTTTTGAAAACATTTTGCTTCTAGCATGTTTTTGTAATAGTGAATACAATA